TCTCTAATTGTGCATTCGGACTCATCTGTCCCCAACAGTTGATCCACGGTGTTCTTGCATATTGGTCATACAGAGATATGTAACATTACGTTGCTGTTTGCTCTGACATACTGTACATAACCTAGCCTAAGGGAAGGATAGCGTGCACAACGCACAGGATAACTGCATCACTAAGCTACACTCCATGAAGAACCTAATTATGAAAACCAATAAAATTCCCCAGGGTACAAATACAGCATTTCTCTTTAATTGGGCCTGATTGATTGAAAGCTTGTTCCCAATAGCAAGTGTCAGTCGATCTATCAGTGTAGCTGTGCATGGTTTAGTGTTTTCTTAACATCTCTAGCTCGACTGTTTTTGCATAATGAGATCCCAGTTCTCCCAGTGTGTGCTTTATTCCGCACCGGATACCTCTACTACAGGTATCATTCTTATCTAAGAACAGATGGAGAGCACAGTAGTGCACCTCAGATGGTTCTGCTCTGTTTACTCCTGAACGCATATGCTGCTATCATAATCTCTTATCAAAATCTATATTTTGAAAAAAGAACTAGTCGAGGCTTTTGAAACAATGAAAGAATGTGGAGTGTGGTGACCTTTTCAATAGACAGAGATTTAGGAGAAGCCATTATAGGTAGTAATCTTTTTTGGAGGGCTGTCAAACGATTAATCGCGATTAATCGCATCCAAAATAAAAGTTTGTGTTTACATAATATATGTGGGTGCACTGTGTATAATTATTTTATATATATATAAATACACACACATGCTTGTATAGGCCTATATTTAAGAAATATTTTTGTATATACTGTATATAGATTTATATATAATTTATATTTTATATAAAATTATATTTTTTTCTTAAATATACATGCATTTGTGTGTATTTATATATATACAAAATAATTATACACAGTGCACCCACATATATTATGTACACACAAACTTTTATTTTGGATGCGATTAATCGCAATTAATCGTTTGTCAGCCCTACTTTTTTGCCTATGTGTGTGTGTGTTAACATTATTGCATTACCACATGGTTAATTCTAAATCTTTATTGCATTAATATAATTTAATACAAATAATGCAAATATAATACTGAACACAGTTAGATGACCTTGGGAGTTGGGAATGCATCACACTGATTACCGTTGGCACTATAGGCCGAAATGATTTGATTACTGCAATTTGAAAAACTGGTAAACACTCTCAACCATTAAGCAAAGTCAGCAAAAATGTCACACACACTGTAAAAAAAAATATTTTCATGATTTGTAATCAACATTTTTTCTTTTCTTTCAAATCAACTTAGATAATTTATGTAGTTCAGATAACGTAATTTTTTGAGTATCTGGTGATTAAATTATTCTCCTTCATTGTATTAACTCAATTTTTCCATTTCAATGAACTTTTCAATGAATTTTAAGGCAATCAGGTTAGTTTTTTTTTTGTTTGTTTGTTTAAGTTAAACCAACAATATTATTTTACAGTGCAGGCACTCAAGCAAACTTGACTGTTCATTTCAAATCTGGCCATTGTTGTTAATGTTAGAATTTGAATGTTTGCAATCAAAGCACAGAAATCAATTGCACAGAAATATCTAGCAACTCCTGCTTTAACTGTGTGCCATGTGAGAGATTATTTTCACTCACACATGCACAAGAGGGCTTCTCTGACACCTGTTATCTTAGCAAACTTGTATGTCTCAGCAGCTGGTTAAATGTTGACTAGAAAAATAAGCTGACCTGAAATGACAGAATAAGTTAGTTTTGATAATCGAATAAAGTATTGAATCTGATGGTTTACATAGCAAGGACAAAACAAATGTGTTGGACAAGATAAATGGTGTATGCTTTTATGATAAGTGTGCAAGCACTATGATCTGCATGGAAGCATATTTACTGCATAAATTACATTTCAAACCGCACATCGAGCATTGCTTTGTTTTTCAAACTGCTTGGTATGATGTAACGATCAGAGAAAGCAATTTTCCAGCACCTCGTCATATAAAAAGGGACTAAAATCGGTTAGACTTCAGTGTGCTCACAAAAGCCATGTCTAATAGATCCGTAATAACAAGGGTTTTACTTATTGTCTGTTAATTAGAGCAGCCATCAAATGGCCCATGTGATTACATCTTTGATTAAAAATTGCCCGCTCAGGCCTAAGTTTGGAGAGTTTGTCATGAAAGAGTCTCCAAGGACTCAAATATACACAACATTTTTGCTTTGTAAAGCGTTAGTGAACCCCCAGGCCCGGTAATGGCTGTCCCCCAGGACAAGGTCCTCTAGCCAAAACGTTCCATACTTTTATTCCAGGCCATGTTACTTTTGCCTCTGAAACAAGTTGATCTATTGGTATATATTTACTAGTAACTAAGGGTCACATATTTACATGCATGCTCTTTACATTAATCACTTTTTAATTTTATTTTAATTTGATGCACATTGGATGCAAGCAGATGCGAATTGCTATTTGCAATCTCTGCCTTGTGTATCAGAAAGTACGATGCCCGTGTGCAACGATTCCCCACCGCCTCCGTCTAAAAAGATGTGGGAGGACAAACTCCCTGGTTGTGTGATTAACTCTGTGTTAAAAAACAATGTCATCATCTGCATTGGGGATGTTGTGCTGTGCATGGTATAAAGTAGACTGAAGCAATGAATGCAGATCACACGAATGGATCCGAATCACAATGCCTCCATTCAAGGCGATATTCAGTTAACGATTCTTAGCCTACTGTACAGTGGATGCTCAAGGCGACTGCATTTGAAATGCATGTGCTATAGGGGTGCTGTAGAACATCTTGGACGGCAACAGGGTGATTTAAGGGAGATTGAGAACAGCCAGATGCAAGACTGCCTGTGGCTATCCGTCCAGGACGTGCCTTGTGTCCAAAAAATACGCATGCCAAGCTGGAGCAGGTTTCCTGTTGCTGATGATGCACACATGCGTTGCTTCTCCAACCGCGACATCAGCAACAGGAATTCTGAGCAGTGCTCCAGGTTGACATGACTATTTATTCAACTACCTACGTGCTTGTTATCCATTTCCCCTCCATTTCGGCTCCTTCTGACGCATATTCTCTCACTCTGGCGCATATTCTCCTCAACTTGAATGTGGATAGGCATGCAGTAAAACGACTGAAATGTATATTTATGAACAAACTAGATGAGGTTGATTTGACAAATATTACAACTTACCGTTTCAACGTAAGTCATTCCGGTTGATCAAGCGACATGTAGCCTATTCCGTTCATCTATAGCGCAGTGCTCCAGCGGGAAGCGCGCGCGCCACGCAAATAAAAATACGCGCGCGTGTTCTTCTTTTAACGCGGATGGAGAAATGACAGCGGTCCTAACGTTGATATTATGCCGTGCAAATGAGGCAAAATCCAGCAGGTGAGAGCCGTCTGGAAGCTTTTTAGAGTCCCTCGCGCTGACAACCTCCTCCTTCCTCCGCGTTCAGAGGCGCATCTGCAGCCGCTCGTTCGGTTGTCACATTGACATGCCGATGTCTCTCTGCCCAGCGGTCATTAATATCGGAACAGCCCCCGAGTCTCCTGAGAACAGCCAATAGCGGCGGGGCGGAGAGAAGCTCTCGCACCTGATTGGCTAAACAGCAACGTCTGTCAGACAGGAACCGTTGGAGAAATAAAGAGAGACAGAAGAAAATGGATATGCTGGTATTAATTTCTGATTGCGTAGTGTGTTGGGTTGTCTTTTGGCGACTTTATGTATTAAAGTAACAGGGAGTAGGCTATGAGAAAGTTTCTACAATAAATAACTCAAGTTTAGTTAGGTTACAACAAACTATAAGGTTCGTTTTTAGTTAGTCACACACAATTAGCCAACAACTGAATTGTTTCACAGACTCTGATGATGCTAACGGTCATCATCAACGTCGTAAATTATGCAAAGTTGTACATTTATGTACATTTATAACACTATAGGCCTACATTGTGTTATATTGCCTTTACAAAAAGTAATAATAATAAAACTAGTTAACGCTGCTGAGGGTGTTTCTAAAACAGAGGCTGTGGTGTCGATATCCTTCTATCTTCCGACAGTGTTAGCTAACAATCGCTCTCTATTTTTTTCTTTACTCTTTCGAAAGTTGTGAAATAAACATTGTGGAGTTTTTCTTTTGCTATTCGAGCAAATGGGAAGCCGAAAAATATATTTAATGTAGTCTCTCATTCATCATGGTGCACTATTCACCTTATTTTCAGGTAAGAGCGGGTGTGGCCATTTGTAATTTTAATGTGTCTGGCTTCCGGTGTCATATGTTTCCAGTTATTTTTAGCTGTAAAATACAGCTGGTTATGCTGCTTTATATTGCAAATTAGGTGAACAGAGGTTTTTACCCAATTATGATGACTTCCGCTTCTGAGAAACCCGGTAAAAAGGTAAATTACTCCAAAGCAATATTTCTTAGTGTTAGTGCAGGGGCGTGTCACGTGGTGGCACTGGTAATGTATATGATTATTCCACCGCATATTCCACCTTGGAATATGATTGCAACTCGTGATTTATGGGTTTTTGTTTATATGTAAGGACATCCCAAGGTTTCTTTAAGAAGAAAACATGTCGAAGAAAACAGTTGAGAATAAAGCATGTTAAATGAATAATTAATCCTTAAGTGATGTTTTTTATTCATTAGAACAAAACTATGTGGTCCAATCCATGTAAAATAAATACATATAATTTCTGTATTGGCACACAGATTCAGAACATGAAAGTGTTTTAGGGTATGGTGTCACAATCAAAACATTTAAACATGTTTTAAACATTTAAATCATTCATGAAAATTAAAAACATTCAAAAATATCAGACCATTGTTTGTATAATGGTATAAATTTAAAACGCTTAAAAGACATGACAACTCGCCAAATCACAACGTTGCTGATATTCAGTGCGGCAGCACTCTTTACTTATAGTACGATATTGCTTAAATAATGTCTGTGTTTTCTAAATATATATTTTTTTATCATTGCAGATGAGGTGTAGTGGCTTGATTTTAGGACCAACTGCCCAACAACCAGTGATTTGGAAAGAAAATATCCAAGAAGCAGAAGGTAGGCTTTCCGTTCATCCAATCCGTTCATTGTTTCAGGGACTTTGACAGAAGTATGTCCTCTTTGCTGTGAGCTGACCCTGTTTTCAGGGATGAATTCACTGTGAAGGTGATTCCCTGAAGCTTATGCCCAGGTTGTTCACAGCTCACCCTCGGGACTGCACAAACCTTGTATTGAGAAAACAGGGATATAACTCATAAAAGACTCCCGATAGGGTCCATTTTTCCACATCTGGCATCAAGAGACTGCTCTGCCAAAGAAAAATGTGCATGTACTATGAAAGCATAAATCTGGGTTTTGGTTGAGGTCAGCAAGTACCGTGTTTTTCATCAGTCCATGCCCTTGTTTATGAAAAATTTAGAGGAATATTCGGAAGTTGTGAGGTGGTGGTTTCTTCGTGGCATTTCACAGCATTTGTTTTCTGCCAAGGACTTGGAGGCAGTGCAGGTTATAGACTGAAGTTCCACAGTTATAAATATTTTTACGAAGGATTTTGAGCCTCTTTCAAAGACATAGTCTGTAAAGTTTTCTGAAGAGTCTTTAACAAAAGTAATTTTAAAAAGCTGCATTTTACAACCTTCCACCGTTTTTATGGCCAATATAGTGCTTGCATATTGTAAGTACACTCTAAAAAATGCTCTAAAAAAGTGCAATTAAAAAAAATGTACAGTTGAAAGTGAAAGTTGAAGTTGGGTTAAAATTTGAAATTACATTTTTAACCCAACATTTGGGTTTGTCCATATTTTACCCAAATTTTGGTTCAAACAACCCAGCATTGTTTACACTCTAAAAATGCTGGGTTGTTTTGACCCAACTGTGGGTCAAATATGGACAAACCCTAACGTTGGGTAAAAAATGTAACCCAATGGTTGGGTTTGTCCATATTTGACCCAAAGTTGGGTTAAAACAACCCAGCATTTTTTAGAGTGGAGTGTATTATTAAATGGTTCTGATTTCAATTTCTGATTATTATTAATGTCAAATTTTATTCAATGCGTGTCAGCAATAAACTGTGCACTGCCAGGCTAATGAACTAAACTACTCTTCTGCCAAGTAATAATCTACGAAAGTCCTAAAAAATGAGATTTTTACTTTGATCAGGGACTCACCCAAGCTGAAATATACTCTATGTCTGTCAGTGATGGACTGTTTCTAAATCAGTGTCCGACGCGGCCTACAACTTTCACAGACACGACACTGACTCTGAACATGTGGTCAGTTTCATTGCCAACACTCTAAAAAATGCTGGGTTGTTTTAACCCAAATTTGGGTCAAATATGGACAAACCCAAATGTTGGGATAAAAATGTAATTTTAAATTTTAACCCAACTTCAACTTTAACTTTCAACTGTAAAATTTTTTTATTGCATTTTTAACCCAACATTTGAGTTTGTTCATATTTGACATATTTGTCCATATTTGAAACAACCCACCATTTTTTAGATGTGGTAAGCGAATGATGTTGTTTTCTTATAAAAAAAAAAAAAAAAAGCTGTTTTATATATACAATAAAACATGGGTAAAAGCAATGTTCCATTGATAGATCATATATAAGCCAGTGACATTCTCAATAGTCACTGCATCAGCACATTGCTTTCCAGTTTCAGGTCAGTGGAGATGCTGGACAAGCGTCTCCCCGTGACATAACGTGATAGTGGCATACCTGCAGAGATGTGTGAGTTTCCCGGGAATACGTCTCTCAAACGGTAGAGTTTTTGCAAGATGTGTTTGTGCCTGCAGTGCGGTTAACAGGCCGCCCAGGAGGGGGTTGTTTAGTTAAGACTGATGTAGAAACATTCTGCCACCAGCCAGCCAACCACACACACAACATCTCAGACTCCTCATTAGGCCTCCACACGCCCATGATGTTCAAGTTAGTTTACCAAGGCAAAAAAAAGTTATAAATATATACATTTCTTCACAAGAAACTTAGAGAAGATGCTCTAACAGCCCCTGACAAAGACATAGAACCATGTAACATTTTCACAAATGCCTTTAACAAAAGTCATTTTAAAGCTACAGTACATGCATATCGATTCTGAAAACACCATTACATGTGATTACATGTGTTTGCACAGTTGTAAGTATTATTCAGATTTTCATTTCTGATTAATATATTAATGTTACATTTATTCAGTGCTTTTTTAGCAATAAGCTGCCTGCCCACCAGGCTTATAAACTAAACTACTCTGCTGCCAAGTAATAATATCATAAAAGAGCATGCTTTTGCTTTACTTTGCCACAACTTCATGATCTCGACATGTCATGTCATAAATTCTTTCTTTCTTTCTTTCCCTCAGTCTTTTTTTTTGTTTATTTGTTCTTTCTTACTTTCATGTTTAATTACGTCGCTCATTTTCTCGCTTGTTCTTTCTTTTTTGTTCCTCCTTATGTTTTTTCAGTTGTTTATTCATTGTTTATTCTTTCTTTTGATTCTTTTGTTTGTTATTTTATTCATTGTTGGTTTTTGTTCTTTCTTTTCTTTCTTGTGTTTGTTCTTTTTCATTCTTTAATATGTTAGTTCGATTGTTCTTTCATTTGTTAGTGCTTTCTGTCATTTGTTTGTTTGTTTGTTCTTTCATTCTGTTTCTTTCATATTTATTTATTTATTTAGTTTTTCCTTTAATTCATTTGCACGCTCGATTTTTCTTCCTTTCATTTATTCATTAGTTTATCCATTGTTTGTTTGTTTATTTTCTTTCGTTTGTTCTTTCATACTTTCTCTCGTTTTGTTTATTTGAGTGATCTTTTGTTTGTTCTTTCTTTATTTCTTTCTTTTTCATGAGCCAGGTGGACTGCAGAATTTATTTCAGCTATTAAAGGTTGCATAATTTGTAGGCAAAAGAGTGAGAAAGGGGAGATTTATTAGCCGGTGATTAGAAGCTTGTGTCAGTACACTATGCTTGCAGTTTAGTTTATGTATCTCGAACGGATGTTCGATGCTCTTTAAAAGTCCTTGTTAAAAGTGCAAACGTCCTGAGAGGCAGTCATTATACACGTTCTGTATTATTAGTATTCTTTCCAGCACCTACTGTATGTAACACCATCTTTTCAAGTTTCGCTCTGAATGCTACAAAAGTTGACTGGATAAAAGGATAGATTTCTTTTTTGTTATACAAAAAAGCAGAGTGAGACTGCAGTTTTAGCCGCAAGATGTCTCTCTGAGGAGTTCTGTTGTTCTCCCCTGTTTGTTCGGAGTTGTGAAGTGTGGAGGTTAACCTCTCTCGTCTCAGCCGATCATGGGGCCAGGCTCCAGGAGAGGGTGGCCGCTTATACCGGAGCTTCTGTTCCTGTGAAATATGACTTCAATGTTGAGAATAGGTTGACATACATAAGAAACTGAGACGGAAAGGATAGTGTGACGACTGATGGAGTCCTACATTGTATTGCATGCAGACTTCAAAAGCTCAATAACAGATTCATGAAAGGCTTTGGCTGTCCATTGTTGAAAACGTTTTTTATGCTTGTGTGCAATAGATGCAGAATGATTTTTAAATTGAATCCTGGGATTTCCACCCAGGCCCATAGCTTGAAATTCTGGGCCCTTTACCTCTTTTTCAGCCATTTGTAAGGAAGAGATACAGCCTGATGGAATGGTGCATTGATAAATTGCCCTGTGTAGTTTATGCATGGACGACCCGAGTTCAAATCCAACATTCAATTTTACGATATTGAATATTACTCAGTAGTTCTCTTATCTCAGTTCTCTTTTGTCCATTTCTTTATCCCTAGATGGTTTTCCCATATCTGCCCTTTGATTAGTTTCATTTTCTCTGCTCTTTACTGTTGGCCATGACCTCTCGGTTCCCTTATATTTAATCTCATTTTACAATATGCTTATTTTCTTATAGTTACTTACAGCCATGATCCTGTAGTAATTGAAATGTAAGCTTTATTAAGCTAAATAGTTATTTTATCATTTATAAGATTTCTATATATTATTTACCTTTTAAGTACACCAGAGAAAATGCATTGAGAAATCAAAAGAAATGTTATGTTACCATACACATTCATTCATTCATGGTTAGCGTTTCATTCCTAAGTGTTTTGAACAAAATGAATGCAGATTTTGTTGTTTTAAACATTATCGTAAATTTGACTATACGCATGCTCATAAGCCTGTTTGTCTTTATGAAGTCATGAGTGCATGATTCAATGGCAGTTTGAACAATAGAAATATGTTTTACCCTCTCCAGCTTCAGCACGTATGTCAGTTTGCTCAATAGATTCATGAAAATGGGCATGCATTGTGTATGACACTCAGGACAGATGTTGAAACCCTGCAGATCAATGCTCTCTCCATTCCCTTTGATGGTAGAAAAATGGCTGTAAAGACCATGTCTGAAGTGCACAGATATGGCAATGAGCTTCAGATTTGTTTGTTACACTTCAGCACTGATTGTGCTGGAAAAATCCCACTCAGTCTGTCCATTTGTGACAAAGCTCACCCCAAAAAAAGTAAGAAGGATAACAATAAAACTGTAGAACGTGTGTGGGAACATCCCAAGGTTTTTGCAATTGTGAAATGAAAATCTTTATGACTTTGGGACTATGAGAACAAACGAATACGGAGATGTGGCAGCATTGTGCCGGCATCTGAAATCTCCCTTGTTACTCTTTTGTTTCATTACATTCCTTTGTGAATGACTGGTGCTGATGAGCCAGAGGAAAGCAGGATGGGTAATTATCACAGTTGTGGATAGGCTTTGAGGGGGAAAAAAACACTCCCTCTGCCATTGGCACTGTAAGAAAGAAAAAGGTCTCCTTATGTACTATATTGATGGATTTCCATCCTCCTATTCAATAAAAATCCAGTCAAGCGTTTAAAGGGGCAATGGGTTGGGAAATCCAATTTGCCTTGACCTTTTGACATATAAGAGGTCTATATACTGTATAAACAAAGCATTATTGCTGGATCTGTGACATCACATGGGCAAATACATTTGAATTTGACTGCTTCCAGAGCAAGATATTGCTGAATAGTTACCCATCATCGCACCA